GAGTCAGTGCTGATTTTGTCAGTCCATCAATCAAGGACATTCTCACTACTTTGCATTTGCCTGTCCTGTCCCCACCCCTTCCCATTTACCCAGTCCCTACTCACCCATCAAGACCCCTTTCATTTTCTCCACAAAGCTTCCACTTCTCCTAACCTTGGCAATTCCCTCCCTTCTTACCCGACCATGGGGGCTCCATGCATAATCTACCTCTTATTTCAGAGCTTGCTTTATTGTCTTGATTCACCTCAGATCAGAAGATGGAGGCCAGACACCATGCTTGCTGATCAGGCTAAATAACAGAGGCCATGGTACGTCAGGATGATTCTAACTCCCGTCACAGGCATTTTTCTGCCTTCTGTCCACTCTGGCCTCCTGGCTGTGTCTTCCCCACAGCTCCGTCCTCTCTTCTACCCAGTGCCAGTGTGGCTTCAGTCCAGTGACTTCCAAGCCCTCCCCATGGTCCTTCTTCAAACCTAATTTTCCGATGGAATGATTTCCACAGGGTCCCATTAGCACTGAGCTAAGCAGTGAAGAAGAAAACAATAGCAAGTCTCAGGCTGTCTTTTGGGCATCCTAGTTTGGGTCCCTCTCATCCATAAATACAAATCCTCTCAAATGCTGTGAATGTCACCGATGAAAGGGAACACTTACCTGCTGTCTAGGACAGCAAGCTGGGAGGCAAGTAGCAGCCCGGTAGATGATCTGTTTTTACAACCCAGAGCACACCACATGAGCTCCTCCTCCAGGGACCAGAACCTCCCACTTCTCTGGTGCTTGTGCATGGAGACACAGTTGCTTATTTACGTGCCTACAACACACTGCCAAGCCTTACTCTCAGCCGGCTCTGCATTGAGTTCCAGGCTGTCCGCTAGGGATGAAAAGTGGTTTCAAAGGCACTCACAGAGCAGGGAAAGAAGCAGGTGGTTTCACAACTTACACCAAATGTGTCTATGTGCATGTGTGTTTGTATATGTGGTATTTGCTCATACATGCACTTCCTCATACAAAGAAACTGCAAGACCGAGAGACAGAGAGAATCAAGTTTGAGCTTATTGGACAAAGCTATTCGATTTCAAAGAAGTCAGAAAAGGAACGCTTCAGGTCTTAGACCCTATGTCCAGGTTTTTAGAGGATTGACAATCAGAGTTATTGGTTTCTGGGTTTTTTTGTTGTTGTTTTGTTTCAGTGTCGTTTATATCACGATCTCAGATAGAAGCTTTCTGAATACTATTCTGACAACACCTTGCAAAAGAGGTCTCTGTATCCCCACTTTATAGATAAAGAAACCAAGGCTCAAGGGATACCTAATATCATCTAATGACAGAGTAATAGTGCCAAGATTCAAGTTTCTCTGGCAACTAAACTCAAATTATACTTTACAGGGTGGGAGAAAAATCTAAAATGTCTGTGTCAAAAAAAAAAAAAAAAAAAAAAAAAAAAAAAGGATACCAGCCAGGATTGCATGCAGATGCATACACTAAGCCAGACACTGTTGGCTGCTCATCTCACAACTCAAGGTCAACCCAAGCAAGACAGCAGAGCCCTGGGGGTCCACAGATCAGCCTGGAATCAGACAAGGAAACACAGGCATGCCTGAGGCAGAGGCAGACTTTCTGGGAGAGAGGGCAGCCCAGGAAGGTTCCTAGAGAACATGCCCACATCTGACCCTGTTTTGGTAATAATGAGAATCAAGCTGAGGAAGACCTTCTAACCATAAGACTAGAGGTAACTCAGAATAACTGCAGGTCAGCATATACTCTAATTCAATGCTGAGAAATGTTTGAGCCCTTGTGTTGAGACACAAGTAACTCTATTAAACCCCTAAGAGCCATCACCACAGGAATCCACATCACCCTTCAGGACGGGTACTGCAATGTATACCATTGTGCAGTATTCAAAGGTGGTTTTGAGTCTGTGGATGAAAGGATGAGGCTGCTTCCTTGAGCCAGAACACTGGTTTCCACGGATAAAAGCAAGTTCTGATCCCCCACCTCATACACAGGCCTGCTTACATGCTCACTAGGTGAAACTGTAGTACTCAAGGACTGTACTGAATGACTTCTCTGCCAGGAGTCTGGCAACTAGAAAGAGCGTATACTGAGCCCTTGAGGTTGGGAGACTACTGGCATTTTATTACATAACCCTTCAGGTGTCCGTCTGGAGTTCATGTCTCTCTCTTGGAAAAGTTGTGCCTTTTTCTAGTATAGTTTCTGATATCTATAACCTGGTCTTTTCAAGGAATCCGAGAAGGGTTTGTTTTTTGTTTGTTTTGTTTTGTTTTTAACCTATCCTAGGCATAGGAAGGTTAAGAAGCAGGTTCTGACTGCCCAGTCACTGTATTATTTCTGACACTGGAACATGGTTGCACTCAAGGCTCAACATTCCGTGAAAAACCCCAACAGTTGTCAGCTTCTGGGTCCCTCCTCTGCAGTAAGAAGCAAGGAACAGGAAGGCAGAACACATCGCTGTACAGACACACCGTCTCACAGGGATCCACGCCCAAGAGAGCACTGGCAAACAGCTGTCCAGAGGGTGTGTAGTACAGCTCAGAGGGTGTGCACAACCCAGCTAGGAAGTTTCATGCATGCTTTCAGTTTGTCTTTTTTTCTACCTGTGCACTCGAAATGCATGGAGAAAGAAAGCTATCTCCCTGTCCAGTCTCTCTCACAGGCCCTCCTGGGTCTTCTCTTTTTTGATGATGGGAATAGAAATGATAAGAACCTTAAAAACAGCAATGTCAGAGGCAGGATGCATTATACAAAAAACAAACAAACAAATAAAAAACCAACACAGTTTAATTGTCCCTCCCAAATATTCCTCAGGGATTATATGATTTAGAAATGTAAACTTCAAGTGCATTGAAATAAAAAATGTCTACCCTGTAAGTATCAACTAAACTGTTAAAATAAATGTGTCCGCTGTGACCAAATATTACTTGTCGCAAAATAAATAAATAATAAATAGCAAATGGTGCTCTTTGTGTCCCCCTAGTGGTTGGAAGAGGAACAACAAGGAGAATTCAGAGAGTGGCTCCCATTCTCAGGACCAAACAACTTTTACAGCAGAATGACAAATGGCTTGACTGTAACCATGAAATGGATATGTTCTAAGTGAAAATGAAGGATCTTAGCTATTATATATATATTAGATATATATATTAGATATATATCATATATAATCTTAGTTATTACACATAATATTATATTTAATAACGAAGATACATACATAAAACTAAGATATATAATGTATTATATATTCACATAATCTAGATCAGTGGAATCCTGCATTGTTGATTTACTTTCTTTCCCTAGCCTCTGATTTCCCATTCTCACCAAACAAGTCAGCAATGTTCTCTTCCCAAATTACTTCTTCCCCAGCCTTTACTTACTGTGAGCTCCCTCTCTGTACACAGTGCTTATAAATATGCCATTTACTCTGCAACAAGTGATAGATAACATTGGAAGAAAGAAATCGGCCTGCCTACCGACGTGTCTGTACTAGAAGGAGAGCAAACCATTTGGACATTCGTTGTTTTTATTATTATTATTATTATTTCACCAGAACAACAGCATGGGTCCCTTCATACAAACACCTTTACCATAACACTTTTTAAAAGCCATTTTTGTGATGGTCTTTTCTCTGTCTTTTCAAAGAAGAAAGTCCTTGTTAAGGAATGGGGAGGGGTGAATGTTAAAAGGACACTTGTGTATAAAACTTTTTCATATTAGGTCACCAAAAACTAATGAATTAAAAAGAATAGAAATGCCTCCCGTTTCAAATTTATCACTTGCAAATGACAGGTGGGGCAGTTCTCAAAGCCCAGACAAGGTGAATGGCCTGCTTCCCCAACTCCCCAGTCTCCAGAGAGATCCAGTCTGCTGTGTGCTCCTCCCCTGCCCTGCTAGCAAACCTCTAAATCCGGCTCTCTCTAGTTGTGAGTCTTTTTCCAACAAGGACAAAACCGGTGCCTTCAAAATATCGCCAGGCAGGATTACAAGGACTACATACCCCTCACCTTCTCCTGGCAGAAATCAAACGCACGCCCTCCTCATCAACAGCGCAAAGAATCAACAAGTTACCAGTTAAGCCGAGCGCTCCATCCTGAAATGAGCCAGAGCCTCGCCGGAGACCACCACCATCCACCCCAACCCTGCTCCTTCGATGCTTCCCAACCTCCCGCTGCCGCGTGACCTTCTGTTCCAGACCCGACCTCCAGACGCCAGCTCTCCAGCCTGCGCTCCTCCCAGCGCTCCCAGGCAGCTGTCAAAGTCTGGGGCTCGCCGGCTTCTAGGCTCCCCCCGATAGCGCCAGCGTTCAAGAGAATCTTGGAGGGTCGGAGAGGTCAAGATCAATTAAAAAGACCAGAGAGGAGCTCCGCGCTCGGAGACTCGGACCTCCGGAGAAAAGCAGAGTGTGAGCTGAGCGGCAGTAGAGACCATCACATCCCGCGCTTCTTCCGGACTCTGCCCATCAGGAGGGTGTGCGTTCCCAGAGGAGCCAGAGCCCGCGCTGCGGAGCCTGCGGAGCGCCCGGGTGCAGGCAAGGCTTTTAGAAGCCTACAAGTTCCCAAGCCATCCCCAAGCTGGAGTCCAGCTTGGCTCGCTCCTCTGAAGATGCCTCTGGTTCTTGCCCCCAGGACAGGAGCAGACAGACACCTGCCTCCCCCACCCCTCGCCCCCGTAGAGCACCCATACCCGGCCCCGCTCCAAGCATCCCTGAGCCGAGCCCGCGATGATCCCACCCCAGCAGACAGAGCCCCCAAAGTTCTCGGCACTCCGTAGACCTCGCCTTCTCCTTGGCGCCAGGACCCCGCCCAGAGATTGGGCCGGAAAACCTCTTGGGTCCCCAGCTAAGGGCGCTGACTTCGGGGACCGTGCGCGCAGAAGCCGAAGCAGCCACCAGAAAGGGTCGGTGATGCCGGCGGAAGTCCGCGGTCTGCACCCTCGAGCCCGCCCTGCCTGCCTCCCTCCTGGAGAGGAAGAAACTTCCCCAGCACCCACCTTTCGCCGCGAGGAGGCGGCGCCGCCGGCTGTCCCCGCCGTCGCCACTGCCGCCGCCGCTCCCCACGCCCAGCGCCAGCAGGAGCGGCACCAAGCACAGCCTCCCCGGCAGCATCCTCGCCGCC